TTTCCCTATCTTAAGAGTGATTTTCACTTTCTGTCCCTGGGGCACAACTCCCCAAAAGGACAAAGAACTAAAAAAAAACATAACTATAGAGGGGCTACTGTACCCTGTTTTATCCAAACAAAGGTTTAAGCTCACATTAAGTGTAAGCAGGCCATAGACGGAGCAAATTTTTTTTCCTGCAACCATGGGTCCCTCCCGGCAAGCCATTGTTTTGTGGGGTGGGGGAAGCCATCCCTGCTGGGAGAACACAGTGATTATTGCTAACGGCTATAACAGCCACTAGTGATAATTTCATTTCAAATCTGGCAGGCTGGTTGTACCCAGGTTCATTGATCGAACAATACATGGTTCGAAAACTGCTGAACTGGCCAAGATTTGAACAGTCTATGGCCGGCTTAAGTGCTGTGAAGTGGGAGGTTAATTACTACAGTTAGGCTAAGTGTGATGTTACAAAGCTGCTCCAGGCTCTGGAAGGATCCTGACCATATTGTCAGGATCCACCCAGATGCCTGATTGACAGCTGCGTCCACTTCCTCACATGCCCGGCTCTCCAGTGAGTGCTGAAGGGGCAGAGTGGAGAGCGGTGACTGAGATTCATCTGCTTAAAGCTGAGAATTGAGTGATCAGCAGTCATGTGTTTGCTCAGTTTTCAGACTTAGAGCCATCAGACAGCTGCACCATTAGACTGATGCTGCAGCATTGAAGTGAGTATGCATTATGTTGTTTTTTAACAACCCCAAACTTCTCTTTTAATGCTTTTGAGCATGCTTATGTGTACTAGGTTTGACTGTCCGGATTTGCTTGAACAGTGGGTATGTGTGAACATTTTTTATTTTTTCTGCTGAAGTGGAAAACATTTTTAGGAAGTAACCTACATCAGGGGATACTTGAAAACACAAGATTCTGTAAAGAGATACTTGCTTCAGTAATGGGAAGCACCATGTCTTATCTGCTAACTCTTCTGTCTTGAAGCACTAGGGTCCCCAGTTCAGATCCCGGTCTGAACACTATTTGCATGGAGTTTGTAAGTTCTTGCTGTGCTTGGATGGTTTTCCTTTGGGTACTCAAGTTTGTTTTTACACTATAAATGCATGTTAGTAGGTTAATTGGCACCTGTCTAAATTTTCCCTAGTATGTCTATGTACAGCCCTGTCCAAAAGTTTTGAGAATGACACAAATATTAATTTTCACAAAGTCTGCTGCTTCAGTGTTTTTAGATCTTTTTGTCAGATGGTACTATGGTATACTGAAAAATAATTACAAGCATGCCATAAGTGTCAAAGACTTTTATTGACAATTACATTAAGTTTGTGCAAAGAGTCTATATTTGCAGTGTTGACCCTTCTTTTTCAAGACCTCTGCAATTCTTCCTGGCATGCTGTCAATCAACTTCTGGGCCACATCCTGACTGATGGCAGCCCATTCTTGCATAATCAATGCTTGGAGTATGTCAGAATTTGTGGGGGGTGCTTTTGTTAACCCACCTCTTGAGGATTGACCACAAGTCCTCAAAGGGATTAAGGTCTGGGGAGTTTCCTGGACATGTACCAAAAATTTCGATGTTTTGTTCCCCAAGCAACTTAGTAGCACTTTTGCCTTACTTCAAGGTGCTTCATCGTGCAGGAAAAGGCATTGTTCATCACCAAACTGTTCTTGGATGGTTGGGAGAAATTACTCTCGGAGGATGTTTTTGTACCCTTCTTTATTCATGGCTATGTTCTTAGGCAAAATTGTGAGTGAGCCCACTGCCTTGGCTGAGAAGAAACACCACACATAAAATGGTCTCAGGATGCTTTACTGTTGACATGACACAAGACTGATGGTAGTACTCACCTTTTCTTCTCTGGACAAGTTTTTTTCTGGATGCTCCAAACAATTTGAAAGAGGATTCATCTTACCCCAGTCCTCAGCAGTCCAATCCCTGTACCTTTTGCAGAATATCAGTCTGTCCCTGATGTTTTAACTGTAGAGAAGTAGCTTCTCAACTGCCCTTTTTGACACCAGGCCATGTCTTTGCCTCATTGTGCATGCAGATGCACTCATACCTGCTTGCTGCCATTCCTGAGCAAGCTCTGCACTGGTGGTGCCCCGATCCCGCAGCTGAATCAACTTTAGGAGATGGTCTTGGAGCTTGCTGGACTTCCTTGGGCACCCTGAAGCCTTCTTCACAACAATTGAACCTCTCTCCTTGAAGTTCTTGATGATCCGATAAATGGTTGATTTAGGTGCAATCTTCATAGCAGCAATATCCTTGCCTGTGAATCCCTTTTTGTGCAACGCAATGATGACTGCACGTTTCCTTGCAGTTAAATTAATATATGTGCCATTCTCAAAACATTTGGCCAGGACTGTATATGTAAGTGAGATAGGGACCCTTAGATTGTAAACTCCTTGAGGGAAGGGACAGATGTGAATGTACCAAGTGCTGCACTATCTGCTTAACTATCGTATATCTATCCATAAATTAGACTTGTATTTGTTCCTATAACCTTTGTGAACATTATTCTATTTATATCTCACAGATGGAAGTATTAGCATATTGTAATAAGGAACCTTTGTTTCTTGCGTGTATGACCTCAGTCTTGTTACCCAGGGTGACCTTCCGCTTACTGGTGTCTGGATTGTACAGCTTTCCACACGTCATTTCACAGAGAGTGCCGCTACGAGGATAACCTCTCATTTAACCCCCATTTCTCTCCTGAATTGTGTCTGCTAGCTCCCTAATAACTTCCACATTTACGGCACAGCTTTTCCAGCTGACATCTCCTTTTAGGTCTTTGTGCTTTGTAGCACAATCAGTGTTAGAGAAAAGAAGCTGGATCGTTATCTTGATAGTAGTCAAAGATGAAAAATTATTAGAAAATCAGTTGTTAAAGGAAATAAAATACCATACATATTTGCTACACTTGTCATTTTAATACTTAATGTAATTATTGATCACCTTCCATTTAAATCAGTGCAGTGATTAAGTGGTTAGCACTTCTACCTAGCAGCACTAGGATTGTTGGTTCAAATCTCACCGATCCAGACCGATTTGGAGAAAAAAAGATTCCTGCACTATTTTTTGCGATTTCATGTGGGACTTGCATAGACTTCTGTGCATGAGGTCACACAGATGTCAGGCAAGACGCACATAAAATCGCACTGACCTGCAGATTTGAAATTGTGCTACTTCAAGTGAAGTAGCATGCTTTCAAATTTGCATTCAGTGTGAACCAGGGCTAAAAGCCATTTTGAAAAATAATTGGAATGTTTTGGGGACTCAAAGTGGTTAGGAGGTAAGGCAGCCACCTTGGACACACTAAAGTTGAGCCAGTTAACCCACCAGCATGTCCATGGAGTGGGAGATCAAACCGTAGTGTCCAGCAGAAACCCACAAAAGCACAGGAGAACATGAAAACTCCATGAAAATAGTGTCCTGAAAGGGATTGGACCAGAGGACTCAAGTGCTGCAAGGTTGAAGTGCTAACCACAAAGCATAAACGACATCATCAAGCACACATTGGTTTACAAAAAATAGAGAAAAAAATAAGTCCATATACATGGATATAGGTGCCTCCCAGTGTTATATATTATTATCATCGGTGCTCTGGCAGAGTCAGCTGACTCCTCATCCACATGGTCTGTATAAGCAAGGAAAAGCCAGCACTCCGGTATATACTCTGCAACCATGGGTTTATTGGCAGGTAATGAATGCCAGCCAAAAATGTCAATGCATATCAGCCAAACTGGTCTTATTCATGTAAAAGGTCAGTTTGGCTGAAACGCATTGACATTTGTGGCAGTCATTTGTTATCAGCCAATAAACACAAGATTGCAGAGTGCCAGTTTTCTTTATTTATACAGAAAAAAATAAAAGTCTGCAAAAGTTAGTAAAACTGTTCAGTGTGCAGTATATAGTTCATTTGGAGGGGGTTTTGCATCTAGATTTGTACTCTGAAAGATTTGTAATGTATCTATTTTGAACATCTTAAAGTTACATTGTTTTTCAAAGGTTCACTTATCTTACCTGCCCCACCTAGTAGCACATTTTTCCATTCTGTCCCCAGCCACTCCATTCAGCCTCTGAGCCTGGAGGAAGAAAGACCTGTGTAAACTTCAAACCAACTTATTGGAGCCTACACAGCTATGAGCTCCTTTCATGGCCCCATGTGGCAGCAATAGGCCAATCATGAGACACTGGGATTGATTTACTAAAACTAGAGAGTGCAAAATCTGGTGCAGCTCTGCATAGACACCAATCAGTTTCCAGGTTCTATTGCCAAAGCTTAATTGAAAAAAACTGAAGTTAGAAACTGATTGGCTACCATATACACCTGCACCAGATTTTGCACTCTCCAGTTGTAGTACAACAACCCCACAGTCACATGAGAAAGGAGGACGAGTCACATACCTATCTATTCCCAGAAGTATTGAGTGTATTAGTTGTTAAAATAAATTAGAATTTACTTCAAGACATCTTTACAATGAACCTTAGAATGAGTTTTCCATTAAAATATATAGATTCCATTTATTCCAATAATTGCTGAGAATGTATTACATATGTTACGGCTGGGATCTCGGGCTAGCTCTTCTTACTCCTGTTTCCTCCATGTTTGCTCCTTAATTATAGGTGTAACACTGTTTAAACCTTTCATCAAAAATTATCTATATAGAATTGAAAATATATCCAATCATATGCTCAGTAGTGCATTAATCATATAAATATATACAAACACATTGAATCAATAAATAGGGAATATCAGCTCATTGCATTGCTGTATATATAGTTTGCTTTTAGGACACAATGCCAAGCTTGGAATGACTGGTCAAATCATTATCAATGCAGCTTCCATAGTGTTGATCTGAAGAGCAGAGCTTTGGAAGACACTATCATCCTAGCTATTGTCCACCCAGAGCTGAAGAATAAGATTTGCATGGAGTCTTTCAAATTCTACTGAATTGCAGGGTGCTCCTTTACATCTTATTTGCAGTGTCTCGTATTACCGACTGGATATGCAATGACCGTTCTATCATTTTGGTTGTTTGATTTTGCAGATGTTGCAATCAGCTCTCCATTCGGAGGGGAAAATAGAAAGGGAAGAGTATTTATCTACAACGGGAACAGAAATGGATTGAACAAGGACCCTTCCCAGGTTCTAGAGGGGTCGTGGGCCTCTGGCACCCTGCCAGCTGGATTTGGTTTCACCCTGAGAGGGGATTCAGACATAGACAAAAATGATTATCCAGGTATGATATGATTTATTTAATCTCAATTCTTCTGAGAAAGGTAATTCCATCCCTACATCTGGAAACATCATTATCTGCAGATATGAAAGTCGGAAACAGTCTCATCATATAATTTGGGTCCTTGAATAAATTTAGTGAACATTTTTATTCAGCTGAGTACAGAGAGAAACTTAGAAAATGGTTGTTTGAAGTCTAAGAAAGAACAATAAAACAAATGTAATTTTTAATGGTTTTCTTTACATCAACAATATGTTTTAGTATTGTGGAATGTCGTTTGCATGTATTTACCATTTTAATCATGGGCTTACATCTGCTTTAAGTTGACCTAACTTTTGAAAACTAACCTTATGGTTGGATTTGGTTTCTCTCACAGGAAATGAACAAATACACCTTTCCTGCTTTTACTTTGTTCCTGACTACTGTGGGCACTGTGGGGGGGATTTACTAAAACTGAAGAGTGCAAATTCTGATGCAGCCCTGTGTAGAAATTAATCAGCCTCCAGATTTTGTTGGCTAACTTAATTGAACAACTCATGTTAGAAGCTGATAGGCTTGCACAGCTGAACCAGATTCTGTGTGCACAAGTTTTAGTAAATCATGCCTACTTACCTTCAGCCCAGCCCTGAATTGAGCACATCTTTGAAATTGAGGAGACATGATATCCAGTCAGAGCATGGCAAAAGGAATCTAAAATTCCCATCTCTAGAATTCTGTAAATTCATTCTTGTAACCCAACTCTTCTTCAGTGTCATCACAAACCCAAAAAACATGAACTGCAGATTCTACAGAGTTATTGCGGAATAAAACTCCTTGTTTATTTGTGTTTTTAAAGGCAGAAATGACATCGGTTTTAGAAAGTCTTTATTCTAGAACAGGGGGATCTTAACCAAAGGTGTAATTATCCTTTGGGAAATGGGAACCAATGATGGGGGTTTTGGCACTAGATTTCTGAATGGGAACCAATGATGGGGGTTTTAGCACCAGACTTCTGAATAAGTAGAAAATCTGCATGTTTGTTCATTTCCAAGAAGACTCAAAATAAAAATCAGATTTTGAAAACAGGTTTGATTTTAGGAAATTTTAGTGTGAACGACTTGCAGCTTACCCTAGCCTGGTAACGAGGGCTTGTTTGGATCCCTTCACAACTACTTATCTCTGTGAAACAGAATTTTCTGTAATATTGAACCAGAAATTAAAGTGGAGAAATTGACTCTATGAGGTAGATTTACTAAAACTGGAGAGTGCAAAATCTGAAGCAGCTGTGCTTAGAAGCCAATCAGCTTCCAGGTTGTATTGTCAAAGCTTAACTGAACAAGCTGAAGTAAAAGCTGATTGGCTACCATGCACCAGATTTTGCACTCTGCAGTTGTATTAAATCAACCCCATGGCATCAAATGACAATTGATTATTAATTTCAATAACTAGACCTCGATTCCATATTTTAACTGCACAAAATGTTCACAAACATGTCAGTAGTTATATTTAGTTTGTGGTTATGATTTGCAGTTTATATATAAATATGATAAAATCTTTATGATTTTTCTTCCAGCAGTTTTTGTTCCTATCCATATGTTAAAAAAAAACAAGCGTTTACCTCCTTTGAAGTCATACTGGTGCTTAGGGGATGGTGCTGATAATTATTTCAACAGTCTAGTAAAGGTAGTTTTGGTATAAATTGGCCATCCACTGTGGGCCTGTAGTTGTAAAAAGGTTAAAGTGACCCTATCACTAAATTAAAGTTGCTAATAAAAACTATACCTGCAGAAGAAGTGTCAACCTTCCTGGTGCCCACGCCTTTGAACACTGCTCAAACACAGAACATTTTGCTGAACTTTGCAGTCAAACTGACACTTCTGGGAAGGTAGATTTCCAAGGTCCCCTGCAGCTCTCAATGGTTCCTCCTGCTGAGCTCCACCCAATAAAGGATTCAGTAGTCATGCAAAGATCAGCATATGGAACCAATGAGAACAGCAGGGGATCCAGGAGTGCCAATCTTATTTTACAGGTTTGGTTTGGCTTAGTTGCTTTTGTATAGTGACAGGGTTGCTTTAGGGACCCCTGGTCTACATATGACTTGTGGATTTTTTTGGTCCACCTTACTATGACCTAATTGTTATCATGTCTATTTTAGCAACGTGAAATAATATACTCAAATTAATTCCTAATAATTAAAAAATTGTGTATTTTTAAAAAACATAATTGGCATATTAATTCATAATCTTCTAGTGTGTTCTTTTTAAACTGGGGCCTCTTAAGGAATTTCCTGCTCACTTAAGTGTTTGTTTGCATTTGACATCCCAGGTGTAAAACATGAAACATTACACTGATCATTGAACAGGTATATCTTCAATGGTATTTCAGTATTTATTATTTTTGGGCTAATATTCTGCTGATATCCATCATATCTTTTTACTAGCCTTTCTGTTGGGGAAAGAGTTGGAATTCAATTTCACTCTTGTTAATGTCTTTAACATTCCCACTTTCTAATGAAACCTGAAAAGGAAATTTTAAATTATTTTCATGAACTTCCCTTGTGTAAATTTAATAAGCTAACTGTTTGACATACTAAAATTGATAATTTCCTCTGTTCAATTATTTGATATGGTCAGTGAGTAGTATTTATTTGTTCTAGCAGGAATCACATGACCTTCTCTAGTAACAGGGTTGTAATCTGCATTCCCAGAATTGATTGTTGGCTAAACATGGTAAGTAAGCCTGCGGTCACTTAACATCTATGGGAACAGCCACGGACCTATAGATGTAACACAATGGTCTTAGGAAGTGTACAATTTCAAGTTGAAAATTTGTGCGTCTAAGATCATTTGAACCAACACTTTTCTTTTTCTGGCTATTTGCTCATCAATTTTGCATTCAATCAACTGGTCTAATTGTTTTGCATATAGAAAAATTGTCAGTGGGAGACACTGAGGTTGATTTACTAAAGGCAAATACTGTGCACTTTTCAAGTGCAGTTGGACTCATTTTCCCCAGAGCTTAGTGTGGTGAAACTTTACTTTGTAAAAAATACCCAATTGGATGTAAGGAAAATAATAAAACCAGCATTTTTGCTTGCACATGATTGGATGATAGAAATCAGCAGAGCTTCAGCACATTCATAAAGCTCTGGGAATATGAGTGCAACTGCACTTGCAAAGTGCAGTCTATTTGCGTTAAGTAAATCCACCCCATAGTCGCCAAAGGGTCTCTGTGAAGATCAAGTTTGAGAGCCCTGTTCAACTATTGGCCAACTATAAACACTCTTTTAGTGTTGATAGATAAATGATAGATGCAAATAAAGAATAGACTTTGCTATACCTCAAACCCAGTCAAGTTGAACATCCCATATGGTGTCAAATGGCAGAAACACATTTTAGGCATGGATTAATGGTGGTGCTCTCTGTCAGACACCCTGTGGATATTACAACCCAGGAGCTTCTTATTGTTCCTAGAAGCAGAAGGGAGTTCCAGCAATCTGTATACCTAGACTTTACTTCTGAGGACATTTTTCTCATACAGTAAGATGGTACTATGTACTTATTCCTTACAATATCCAGGATTCTACTCTCTTAACTTTTTGTAATTTTAATTTTCAATACTATTGCAAAAAAATAAAATCCAATCCTTTTTTTAAATTCAATAATTGTTATTGTTTTTGCCTTTACTAAATTATTAATAATATATATAGATTGTGCTACCAAAATATTGCATAAAGCATCGGACTCCCTATATATAATCGTATCCAACTGCCAGTTCCAAAACGGCTTAATAAGGCTTTCAAAGTGCTTTATATACACTTCACAAAACGCCAGAAAATTTAACAACATTTATTTACATCTTGTAATAGAACATGCACAGGAACATTATCATTTCATAAGGATACTGAACAATACAATGTTATCACAGACTACCCCTCCATACAGAAACTACAATGTTGCCAGCCACCCCCTTCACTCAGTATAGAACATGTATCACCTAGGCAGGGGTTTCATTTATTTTCATTCTCACTGGAGTCCCCTTTCTCACTGCATTTCACATATCAAGCTTCATCAAGAGAATGAGAAGAAGGAAGGGGTAGCAAAAAAGCCTTCTGGAATAACTGAATGGATGCGTCAATTGGTGCACACATTAACACATTCATAATATTCCAATAGGCTTCCCCTATGGCATTATTAATAGGGGTCAGTATATCCAGTAAATCTCTGGACCAAGGATAAGACTATCCTAGGTTGCATCACTAGAGTGGTCACTAGCAGGAGGAAGGAGGTCTGATTCCCCTATATAAATCTTTAGTTAGAACTCATTTAGAATACTGTGTCCAGTTCTGGAGACCTCAAAAATAGATATTGATAAGATAGAATGAGTCCAGAGACAGGTAACAAAAAATGGTGAAAGGTCTGGGGGATAAAAAATCAGGAGAGACTTCAGGAACTTAGAATGTACAATTTGGAGGAAAGAAGGGAAAGGGGAGACATGATGGAAACCTTTAAATACATCAGAGCGGTGAAAAAGGTTCTGGTGGGCAGGATTTTAAATATGGAACCAAGATCAAGGACATGACCTCAAACTAGCAGGAGGAAAGTTCAGAACTAATCGTAGAATGTTTTATTTTACCAAAAGAGTAGTGATGCTTGGAATAGACTTCCAGTAGAGGTAGTGAGTCAGTCAACAGTACATGGATTCAAACATGCTTGGGACAAACATAAAACAATACTCAGACAAAAACATTTTAAAAAAATGTTAAAAAAAAGGGACAGACTCAATGGGCAACTTGGGCTTTATTTTTAATTCTGCAACACTCTTGAATGTTTCTATAAGCTGATCCCATATTTCAAAGCTCATACTATTGACACCAATGTTGTTAAATGCCTACAACCATATGACAAGATGACAGGGGAGAGACCAGCTTCCCCGCATCCTTGTTGTCTGCAGTAAGATGGTAGGAAGCAGAATTTTCACAGAGGGTATTTTAAGGCATTCCCTAGTAAAAATAAAGACAACATGGAATATTACAAGGCTATAAAGGAGATACATAGGTATAAGACTATAATTAGGCTTAACTAACTTTAACTTTTTTTATCATAAATGTATATATCTGATAAATCACTAACACCTAGGTCACGATATTTATTATGAAGACTTTCAGGAATACAGAGTAGCCATGTGAAAGTCTGGCCAAATCCTATCTGTGTACTTTTCTAGCATTCCTTTTTATTATTACTAAGTGAAGACAATTATTAACTGTGTCAAAAGTTACTTTAAGAAGTCCCAGATGCATTCTGTGACCATATATAGACAAATGTCTTCAGGATCAGTATTTTAGTATAAGTCATTATTATTATTTTTTGTATGATAATTAACTTTTAAATGAGTCTCAGATTTCCCAGGGCATTAGCAGCAGTTGCTGTCACTGGAATGTTCTATTGTTAGTTTCATGATGAATAGAGATAAGGAGTTTAGTGGAAGAGAAACTGCGCTATTTCCGATCTTTAAAAAAATGCAGGTCAACTCATAGTGTGAACAAGCCCTAAGGTTAGATTCTCAATTCACAAAGCTTTAACATAAGGATAAGGCTGTCTAATTTAACTGTGTAACTGTAATTTTCTAAATCAACCTCATTGGACTCTTTGGCTGAAAAAAAAAACTGTTAGTTTTGAAAAAATAAGTATACAGTACCTACCTTGTGTGTTAGCTTTGCGAATTGAGCATCAGGCCACTAGATAGAGGAAGCATGTTGGCAATGCCAACCAATCCTCTTCCAACTGTCATCCTCCACTGATCTAGAAATGAAGACCACACAACTGATTTTTTTTTTTTGGTAGGAAATTGCTCTGTGTGCAGCACTTTTGTAAATAGGGCCAACTGTTTTACTCCATAATAATAAACTTTGGTCAACACCTGTGCTAAGCAGACATAACACTGAAATCTGTTTCCTTGTAACTAGACAAGCCTGAGGCCTGATCTGTGGAAATCGTTCTGGTTTTGGACACTTTCCATCAGACAGGAAGCGTTTCCACTTAGTACATGGGTTTATGTGGACATGTCATTTCTAACAGTCATCGGTGTCCGGTGTGATTCTTGGCTGTGTGCTTACAACGCCTATGGATATAGAGGCATGATCTGAGAAAAGTCATGTTTAATTGATAGAAAGAATTGCCTTAGGATTGCTTTAAAAATACCAGATGGTGATGAGTTTATGTGTTACTGCCTGTATGGTTTGGAAAGCTCTGCTGTAAGGAGATGCAACGGAGAACTACAGGAAAGTAGTGTAAATTGACTGTTGAAGGTAGAACATCTCTTGTGTTCTCCACAGTGACCTTTCCCCTTCCTGTCTATACTACAAGATTTTGTGGTTTCCTCCACCTTGCCAAGATATTTTTTTTAAGAAGATTGAGATTTATTATAATTTTAATATTTGTTAGACAGCCCACAGAGCAAGTTAACTAGGTATCAATGAGTTACTTGAAGCTGAATTTGTGTTCTCACATTCTCTTGAGGTAATAGCTTGACAGTGGCTTTTTTGGACTAAAGGCTTTCCAAGAGTTGATCACCATTCAGTTCAGCTGACAACCCCGGGACTGGAACCTGTGCTAAGGTTATAAGAAGGCAGGCACTGTTGGCCTTTCCTAGAGATGTAAAGTTTCTAGAAATTTTGAAGCAATGAGAAAAAAAACTTTTTTCTGGAAAAAAATGGAAATTTTGGAAAAATTTAAAAAAAATTATTGTGGAGTAGTTTTACAAAGTGAAGGTAATTTTGATACACTGGAAGTTGAAATGCAGTGTATATAAAATAACTATGCCCTAAAAAGTCCATTGCTACAATTTTTCAAAGTTCCACTATCCAGGATGTGGGCATATAGGACACAAGAACCTCTGTCTAATCCTTGAGCACGTCAGAACAACAGACAGTTTTTGATTGGTTCCTTTGTATAACCTGCATTTTAGTCTTGGCCTTTTGAAATAAGATACCAATGTAAACGTTGCTGTTCCAATTTCATTTCATGGTATATATTTATTATTACAATAAATATAGTAATCTTCAGTGACCAGCCAGATTTATGGTTTCAACAGATTCAGGGGGGTAAATCCAGAGAAAGGTGATTTGTGTTCCTCTGCTGCAGGCCGTTGTAATGTAAGTGGATTACTGCTGCCATTGTAAGTGTTTAAAGTTTATTTCTTTTTTTTGTTTTTTCCCCCAGATCTTATTGTTGGAGCCTTTGGTGTAGAAAAAGTAGCAGTTTACAGGTAGGTTCTACAAATTCCTTACAAAGCAGTCTACAACTTAAAGAAGAACTCCAGGTTAGGCAAAAAAAAAATCACCCATTAGTACACTCCCCTACACAAACCACTAAACAGTACATTTTTTAAAATCGTTACTATTCATGAGAAAATTCTAATTGAATTTTCTTCACCACACCTTTGTAATTCAAAAGAAAACAGTATCTGCTCTGCCAAGGAGAAGGTGTAATAGCAGGGATTACATCTTATCCTCTCCTCTCTCTCTGCAGTAAAAGGAAACTACAGTTCCCATCAACCACACAGGGAATTGTAGTGAATGTGGGTGGGTAAACTAGGCCTGTACACGTTGAATGTGTTTGAGAGTCTTGGTCCACTGTAAGTGGGGCTGAATTCCATCACTGCATCCTGTCAAAGAGAACTACAGAAGGGATGTACCCAGACCAGTGGCTAGAGGGATTAAGAAGCATAGCAACCACCGGTCTTACAAAACAAAACCAAAGAGAATTAACGGTTTTATTTGAAAATGAATAGGCTATTTCAGAGCAACTACTGAGTGAACCAGAAGGTGGATGACATATTCAGTGAAGGTAGGAAATCAGAAAAAATAAAAAAAAAGTTTTTGCTCAGAGTTCTGCTTTAAGTGGATCTAGTGCAGCACATAGGTTAGCATGCACTTTGTCACATGTTAATGTGTATTGCTTTAAGCCAGCCAATTCATTTTAATGGGCTGCCCACACACCAGAAGACACACCTATACTTTTTACCTATGCAACACATGACCATGCATGATTGGAGGTGAGCTCCTTTGGTGCGTTGTGGATGCTGTTTAATGTCTCTGCAACACACTGACATATGCATAGTTTCTTAATGCAATGCATAGTGTGAGGCTAGCCTTAAAATGATTATGACTAGGCCTAAAATCTTTCTAAATAAGGCTGACACTATGATGACAATAGGCCCCTCCCAATTCTGACACTAGGCTATACTTTTGTCATTCAACTATCAAATGCCAGAATTTTTGGGATAGCTTTGCACCAACACAGTGTGTATAATAGCACATATCTGATTTTTGCTGAGCTGTGGAATATTGACAGCCCAATCAAATGAATGAGCTGTCTTAACATGGCGCATGTTAAGGCAAGTCATTTGTATCAAAGCACAGACCTCCTAATAGACCTGTACTGCCTACTGATATTCTACCATTTGACAACTGAATGACAGCCAAGTGGGTATTCCTGTTCTAATAATGGGGAATTTAATCTTAACATGGGCAGAAGTTGGAGCTCCATGTACAGCCTAGGCCTAGAATCTAAGGGCTCCACTTGAATTGGTTTAATGACTAATACAAGATCTTAGCATGGTTGCAGTGCTTGCTAGTCAGTATCTTAATGACTGGTTTACCTTGTTGACTGAGCTATGTATTATATATTCTTCACTCAGGGCCCGACCTGTAGTTACGGTGGATGCCCAGCTTCTTCTCAACCCTACAATTCTGAACCCTGAGAATAGGAACTGCCAGCTCTCTGTCTCGGACACCTTTGACATCCTGGTTACTTGGTAAGTTAAAGCTCTTCCTTCTTAAAGTTAAGTGGACAACTTATTGGGGGGTTATTTACTAAAACTGAAGAGTGCAAAATCTGGTGCAACTCTGCATAGAAACCAATCAGCTTCCAAGTTTTATTGCCAAAGCTTAATAGAACAAGCTGAAGTTAGAAGCTGATTGGCTACCATGCACAGTTTCTGAGTGCACCAGTTTTAGTAAGTCAACTCTATTGATATCTTAGTCATTGGCGAACTCTGGTAGCTTTTTTATATTTATCACAGCAACCACAACAAAGGTTTCCCAATCAGAGTACATGGTTTTTCACCACTTCTTCCCTGCAAAGTCTCTTTCCAACAGCATTTGCCCACCCAGGGTAACACGCTGTGTTTCTTGTCTACCTGCTAATACTTACCTTCCTCGCTCTTCCCTTCCAACCCATTCACCAGCTGCAGTACTGGGAAATACCCAGCACCTAGATATGCAGGGACTTCTGAGAGTGTTGATCTCCTTTGGAACACCACGGCTCACACTGGTCCTTCCTGCCGACCTCCTTGTTATTACAAGACACAGTAGGCATGAGGTTGGTGGTAGGAAGCCAGAGAAAACATGGGGGTTGCCATTGCTGAAGATAAATGCAATGGGGTCTATTTACTAAAACTGGTGCAGCTGTGCATGGTAGCCAAACAGTTTCTAACTTCAGCTTGTTCAATTTACGTTTTGGCATTAAAACCTGAAAGCTGAATGGTTTCTATTTAGAGTTGCACCAGATTTTGCACCATCCAGTTTTGGTAATTGAACCCCAATGTCTTGATATTTGCTGAATATTTGACATATCTGTTTATTGTTGACAAAAGGCAAATTTTTTGACAGTGTGGACAGGTGAAATATTGTATTGCTAGATTATAACCCATTGAAAGGTTTATTGCTGCTGCGTCTAGGAAGATTCACCCTCTCTGTTCATCCTGGTCACCAAGACAGAAAGTGATGGGAAATCCAACATTTTAGAATTGTCACAAGAACAAGAGGTGGGGTTAAATCTTCCGGTGGGGACCCCTGTTGTAAGACATCTAAGAGGGGAATTACTCTTACTTTGTAGTGATTTCCCTTCACTGTCTGTTGCATCTCAAGGGCAGGAGTTAAAGGAAAATCTCCCCAACAGGACACAAAAAGCAAAAAAAAAACTAAAAGGGTTTTAAAGTGGTTGTAAACCTATTAAACGAAAAATTACCAAAGCATATAGTGTGTACTTACTTTTATCTAAAGTATCTAGTGTGATTTCTGACTCCTCTTTCATTCCTCTAAGTGCATGAGTCACTTTTGACAGTCTATGCTTACATCAGACAATCTGTGGAGACAGCCCTGCCCCCCTCCATCAGCACACAGCAGGTGATTTACAACCTCAACTGTGCATGTTTCTCTATGAGTCTGTATGGAGGGGGGTGTCTTCCTTTACCTTCACTAGGGTCTCATCTTACACTCAGCTCAACACTCCATACTGTACTGTGTGTGATGTCAGATCTCAACCCCACACTTTCTGGAGCTGAGAAATGCTGTGTAAATTTTGTACTTTGAGCTGTAGAGGAGGGAGGGTGTAGATAAACAGGTACAGCCTAAATAGAAGGATTTGTTTAATCTCTGTATATCACCTGAGGCCAGTTACTTCACTGGGTATACGTAAGGATTTACAACACTATACTTCTTCCCTAGTCCATTCAAAAAATGTTTTGAGTATGCATGCACTTTAAGACCGCAATAATGCTGTTCACCTTTAATGACATTCCTTTATACTTTTAGTTGAACTCAGAGTCATTTGTATAATTAGCTGAATCTTGGCATCCTTTGTGTATTTCTTTTAAATCTGTGCAGTAATCTAGTTTGCCTCTCTGTAGAAGCTTCCTGTAATAAAGACCAGTCACAGCTGCTCTCTTTCCTTGTGCAGGGTGGCTGGTCTTGTCTCCGCCCCTTCCTGTAGTTTCCTGCAGACAGCCTGTAGTGGGAGAAGCTGCTGGGTCCCTCCCACAGCTCTGTTTTTTTGCACAGGTTTTATGCAGCCTAATGACAATGTCACTGTTACCTTTACAGGTAATATCTGGGTTTACAAAAGCATTTGGTGCACACAAAATATGTATTCTTTGTGGCGTTTACCTAGAGTTCAACTTTATTGGAATTTCCCTTTAGTTACTGGTACTGTAACGAGTTAGAGCTTTTTAAAATGTTATAAAATCTTGTGGCAAAATGATGACATTGTGTAAAATAACAATGTTGCCTACTAGTCAAATACTGTTAAATTCTTTGTTGAGATTGGAATCTGCTGATAGCCCAATACCCAAACTGCTTATAACTGTAGAATTTGAAAAATCATGATGAGAATTTTATGACGGTGGCTGTTTGCTGAGAGTTGGTCTTTGTTGTCGGTTCAGATTATGGAGTTGTAATGCTCTGTTGTAGTTGTTGTAACCTTGTATTCAGCATCTGAAAGTGATTAGTAGGTTAAATCCAACCGGCACATAATTCTTCCCTCCCGTGGGATCCATCGTCCTGTATTTGTGAGCCAGCTGTGTAGCTTGTATAGTGCACTGATAGATATGTATATGTAAAGGAAACTATGGAACAGTGCAAAGGAGCCTAGAAGAAGTTGGACAAACCAAAGCCAAACTTCTTCCATTCCTGATAGACACATGACATTCCAGAATTGACGTAGCATAATAAGCTTTGGGTTTATTTGCCCGGTGATGTTTTAAGCAAGAAACAATAAACCTGGATACCTCAGTGATGGCAACCTGGCAGGTAGTCAGTGATCCACATGGCAAAGAGGACTTGGGATAATAAACACAAGCATTTCTTTCTAGAAAACAAACCTTCGGTAAATGTGGCAGTATGTAAATATTCGTAGTGTCCTCTTATGTTGCCTTCCATCTCTGGATGTTTTAAAGACAGCAGTCAGTTGTGCTTTGACTGCTGAAAGGTCTATTTCTTGCATGACATATCCTAATATTCGGGCACTACCCACAGCAGGTTGTAACCAACTGATTGCTGATCAGTATAGACATTTAGGGGTTGATTTACTAAAACTGGAGAGTTCAAAATCTAGTGCAGCTGTGCATGGTAGCCAATCAGCTTCTAACTTCAGCTTGTTCAATTAAATTTTGACTAAAAAAAAAACCCTGAAAGCTGGTTGGTTAATAGGCAAAGCTACACTAGACTCTGCATGCTTCAGTTTTAGTAAATCAACCCCTTAGTACCTAACCTGCTGCCTAGAGGCCCTTTGGCACTAGAGACGAGCTTGGTCATCCCCTTAACTAATTTCTGTCCAAACAACAAAACGGTGTATTTACTGTATTTCACATCAATAAGTTGGGTCATTCTATACCTTGCAGCACATGTAAAACAAAAGGGTGAGATGCTGGTGACATCAGTGCACTTATACGGACATGTAACCATATCTAGTCATGGTCTTTGGCTGAATATGAGCACTGATGTACCCAGCATCGCGCCTCTTTGTGGGCAGTGTACTGCGAGGAGTAGAAGGATCCATCCACACCTGATTGCTGTAGAAAACAGTGTGACTTGAAAGTTTGAATATAGATGCATTTTGGAGGAAGCCAAAGCTCACTTCTAATTGGCATTTTTGTGTGGTCCTTGGAGCCACTGCAGACAATAGTCTTTTTTGGTACTTATTCAAGCCAGTGAAGGAAAAGTATTCTGCAGACTGGCTTCTGGTAGTTAAAGCAGAAGTAAAGCTCTGCTGTCAAAAACTGTGAGCAGGCAGGCTCTTTATTGCAGTAGAGTCCTGCAATGTCTCTTCTGCAATAAGATACACCTACCTGCCTGTTTGCTGTCGTCACTCAGCTCAGCTTACATTGCCGGCATGATCCCTGAGGCCAGGATGACTGACTCCTGCCCATGTGCAGGAGTGACATCATCCAGCGCTGACCAATGAAGATGACTGAAGACTGGTACCCAGCGGAAGATGCCAATGAGAAGCAGGGACCATTAAAGGAAAGGTATGTTTAGCTCCGCTTTAAATGGCTTGGTTTATTCCTTTCACACTAACTCTGATCTTTTATAGAGGACCACACTGAAAGAAATATCAAACATTTCTATATTTTCCAATGAGGATAGCTGTTCTGATGACAGTGGTCTATGAGGGGATTTCTCCTCACTTTGGAGAGATTTGAGCCAACCATAGATGGATCAAATGCAGGGACCAGCTGAGATTCGATGCATCTATGGGCAGGCTGGTGTACTGAAGTTATTCCATTGATCGACTTTAGTACAATCACCCTGTCAGATTTTGTCTGCAGAACACAGTAGCTCAGTGGGAGGGATTCCCACATCAACACAGTCAGTGTCAAGCGATTTTCTTTCCTGCCAGCTGTGTTTGCAGGAAAGAGAATCGTATCATCTATGGCTTGCCCTACTCTCCCTTCCTGCTGTGTCTTTGGAACAGAAAGTAAAGGGAATTTTTTGTGATGGCACACATTCCTTTCTCTATCCAAAACTAAAAGTCATACTTAGTATATTTTAAGCTCTTAAAATCAACCATTTATCATGTAGCTAGATCTGTACATGTATTGTCATCGTTAGTACGCACTGGCTTTGTATTGCCATGCCACAGTTATATTGTAATTTTTATCATATTCATTCATATAGCATCGAAACATTCAAAGTCTTTCCTATTCAGAGGAGCTCACAGTCTAATAGTTACATTTCACATGCTGGTAGAGTAACTCTTCCTCTATAGTAACTCTTCTTTTTCATTGCAGGTAAATAATGGATTCCAAGCAGAAGCAACGTGCTGTCAGTGCGTTTTTGATGAAGGAGGAATGCAGGCTGTCCAACATCAACAGAAAGCTACTGGTTACAAAGATGACACCATTGACAAGAACAATGTCTTGCTATTGGTGACACTTGTCAATGGTACCATCTCTGCAAACATTCTGTGGACGTCAGACAGTCTACACCCTTCCTTTGTCAAGAACTCAGTGAAGGCACAGTGGGGCTGA